ATAAGGGCCAACCAGCCGTAAAACCGCCCAGGGCGATTTTTCGAATGGGCGAATTTACGACAGAATCCGGTACTATTCTTGACAACCATAACTACCCATCTTATAACTATGTAAAAGTATTTCACCTTTTGTAACCAAACAAAATTTTGGGATATGGTGAGAAAATTAAAAAAAAAATATTTTGGGCAAAAAACAGTTTTGTGATTATATATTTTTATATGGGGTTTCTTCTCATCCAGACCAGTAAACAATTATTTAGTATTTGACTATGGTGCAGATGGTGTCATTTGATCACAGTATGCTAAAATGTAATTCATGTTATTGATATAGATATGCTCAGAAATGAATATTGATAACATTGATAATGGCCGTTAGGTGAGCATGTTCCTAATAACCACAACCATAGCAACAAGTAAAGGGCAGTGGTCACCACACAGCGCTTATTTGAATTTCATTTGAACAATGTATTTTGAGTCCCATATCGAACAGAACACAGTTCAACGGCCACCACACTTTAAAAGCAGGATTTTTCCACAGTTTTAAAATTATTCAGGTTACAATATCATTAGTGGTTTATATTGCGTTTCAGAGTCAGAGACTTGTATGCGACAATGCTGCGGTAATAAAAGAGCCTTCACTATGCACATTACTGATAATATGTCACAGGTATGCCAGTTTTATAACATGTACACTGTACCCTCATTATAATGAACACCTTTATAATCAATTTCCTGATATAATGAACACATTGCATGTCTCCCGATTATAACAGTGTGCATCATTATAGTGAACACTTCTCTATAACAAACTAATTGTATGTCCCCCCAAAGAGTTTGTTATAGCAAGGTTGCAGTTTACTGCCAAATAAATTAATTCAATATTAACTTAAAAACAAGCAGAATTATTTTTTTAATAAAGACTTCCCTCGTTGTTCTTGTAAAATATTATGGGGACGAAATCCGAAAATGGGAATAAGTTTACCCTGTGCATCATCACTTTGACATGTTTTAACCACACACATCACATGTATATAATGATGAAATTTAAGATGGCCCTATGGTAGCCATTTTATATTTTTAGCTCCGCTGTCGACTTTGTCGAGCGGAGCTTATCGTATGAGTGATTGTCCGTTGTCGTTCGTGTCAATGTTTTACTTTTTCGACTTCTTCTTGAAAACTACAAGCCTGAATGCTTTGATACTTGGTGTATATGTACCTTGGGTAGACCTCTCTCAGATTTGTTCATTTCATGATGATATCTTCAATTCTCTAATTTTGGTGAATATTTTTGTCATTTTTAGTAAAAAGTGATATTTTCAACTTCTTGTTAAAAACCGCAAATCCAATTGCTTTGATATAACATGTATAGGTACCACATGTGGACCTCTCTCAGATTTGTTCATTTTGTAATGATATCTTTAATTCTCTAATTTTGGTGAATATTTTTGTCATTTTTGGTAAAAAGTGATATTTTCGACTTCTTGTTGAAAACCGCAAGTCCAATTGCTTTGATATTACATATATAGGTACTACATGTGGACCTCTCTCAGATTTGTTCATTTTGTAATAATATCTTTAATTTTCTAATTTTGGTGAATATTTTTGTAATTTTTGGTAAAAAGTGATATTTTTGACTTCTTGTTGAAAACCGCAAGTCCAATTGCTTTGATATTACATATATAGGTACTACATGTGGACCTCTCTCAGATTTATTCATTTCATGATGATATCTTTAATTCTCTAATTTTGATGAATATTTTTGTAATTTTTGGTAAAAAGTGATATTTTCGACTTCTTGTTGAAAACCGCAAGTCCAATTGCTTTGATATATTATACATATAGGTACTACATGTGGACCTCTCTCAGATTTGTTCATTTTCTAATGATATCTTCT